TAACTTTTTCAATGAATTCTGAGTCATCTTTGATTCTTTTCTTATGCACACTGAGCATTCACAAACTTGGCAGATATCTAAGCTATATTTTTAAATTTCATTTAATAAAATGTAAATAATATTATATTTTCTATTAGTTATTCAGTTTAACAAAGGTGTATAACACAAGCTGACTTCTCGCAACTGTAAAACTTCATCAACACAATAAATACCAATGTTATACGAAACTACTGTTTGTAGTTATTTGTGCTTCTAAGTCAGTAGCTATGCCAGCGCCAGCGCGATCGCCTCTGTGCAAAATTTGTAAGTACAAGAAATTCGTACTTTTTTTAAAATATCTTGCTAACAATGAAGAAATGTATCTTGAAAAAATGAACAGATGAAAGTATATGTAATAACAAAACAAACTGTAATAGGAGAATATTTAAAAAATTTTTCGGGGGGAGGGTAGCTTGTTAGAGGGTTGCACCCCCTTTTATATTATTTTGCCTGCGCCCTTGATTGCAGCCACGCAGTAATATAACTTTTTTAAACTTCAATCTATGCTTATCAAAGCCTTTTGAATCAATCTTGAGAGCTATCTACAATCGTGGTTATAGCGTGTTATTTTAAATCGAACTTTTTAATATGAATAATAAAGAGGCTAATTAACGATTTCTTTAGCGAAAGATAAAAAATAGTTATTCTTTATTTTTTGATTATTAAGCATTTTTCATCTTATGTCCTTCCATCACCATCTAGAATTTTAGGTTACATTTCTAATTTGTGTTTACATGATATTTTTTTGTATTTAACAAATTTTGAGGTTATAGTATTATTAGGCAGCACAATACCTTTCAAAAAGGTTAGAGAACAGAAGAGCGGCTTTATTAGATTAAAAGAAATAGCGATTGATAATTTTTAGATATTCTAATCATTTTTCCTTAAAACTTAAAGGAATAAAAGGAGGCGTTTTACGGTTTTGAGTAAGTAATTTTAAACTACTTTTTAAGTTTTCATATTTTTTAAAATCTAATTTCATTACAGTTTAAACTGATAAATGAATGATAACGCTAAAAAAATTATTTGAACGTTTATTGCATGACATTACTTATCATAAATCTAAAAAACAAGCAACAGTATACTTATTTAACTACCTATCAAAAACTTTTGATTGCAGAATTTTATTGGCATAATTTTATGACAAAAAAATTAATCAAGAATCTAAAGTACCGCATGATTTATATCTCAAATTGTGATTGGGTGGCGGTCTTGCCTTTTATATGGATCGAAAGATACTGCCAATTAGAGTAAATATCTATAGTGGTCCTTAGTGGTGAAATATAAGTGAATTGGTGGTCCTTAGTGGTAAAATAAAAATGAAATTGTGGTTCTTAGTGGTGAAATATAATTGAAATGGTGGTCCTTAGTGGTGAAATATAAATGAAATGGTGGTCCTTAGTGGTGAAATATAAATGAAATGTTGATCCTTAATGGTGAAATATACATAAAAAGGATTAAAATCATATTTAGAATCTACCCTTCCCGTCACCACACCTTCGACAGTTGCGTTCGATCAGTGTGAGGAAGGGCTTCTTTAACACGTGTGTCTCAATATTTAAAAAATAAATAAATAAATGAAAATTTACCAGCATAGGGATGGTGAGGTCTACCATAAGGCGGAACCCTTGGGACGAACCTCCTGTTTGGCTCCTGTTCTGAATTTTGCAGTCCTAGCATCGCCCTACACGATGGAGCATCGTGTGACGTCAGGCGCCATGCGATTCCACTCACTGTTATTAAAACAATACCAACACCTAGAAACAGAACAAAAAGAAATGTTAAGCGTTAATGAAAATGTTAAGCGTTTGAAATCTACTTTTTCAAAATATAATTATCAAAAAATTTGTTCAATGCAGAAATGCTCAATCACATTTTGTATTCAGGACTAAACGTTCATAAATTTCAAAAGCGAAAGAAGAAGAAGAAAAAAAATTTAAAATCATTTCAATCAAGCTTGTTTTAGGGTAAAGTTAATCCAAAATATTTTTACCAGTTTTATAACATAGGATTGTTTATTGACCGTCTAGTTGCTAAAGAAATTCTGAAGCAGTTAAACATGGGAGAAATAATTTTTACATTTGTAAGTTTTGTGGCAAAGCTTTTAAAATCTATCATAGATGTATTAATATGTTTAATAATTGTATTAGCATCTGTATTGCAAATTCAAATATTTATTCATTTCGTTATCTGAAACAATATTTAATTTTTTTTAAAGGATTTATATGAGGAAATCAAAACTATCTTTCTTTATTTGATGAAAAACCACGCAACTTTTATAAAATAAAAATTAAAAATACGTAAAATGGTTCGATACAGTCATTAAAAACGATGAATACTTCTTTTCTATGAAAATGACAAATCAGTCCCCGGTCCGAATCGAATCTTTGCAATTACCCGATGTATGATCAATAGTTTATTGTATAGTTTCATTGTATAGTTTAGCAATATAATCGTTTATGTGAATCAAATCGTGACTTATAATTATGGCGATATTTCGTTTTATATCTAAAGCTGAAATACGTTTAATTGTAACAATAGATAATTAAATGAGATTTTATCATAAAAAATCATATCCAACAAAATCTAACAATGAAAAAAAATGTAGAAAAAAATTAAGAGGAAGTAAATTAGAGATGTACTTAATGCACATCTTTTTTAGCCAGTCTTTAAACTTTTGAATTTAAAAATAATGCCCATAGACAACAAAGGCAGGAAAAAGGCTGTTTGCCGTAACACTTATATATGAGAAATCCCCTATTAATACCACCCCAATCGATTTTTCAGCTATTGATTTGCATCAAGTATGTAAATACTCATCGTGGAATTTTAGATAACAAAAACAGTTCCGCGAAGTGGCAACCTATTCTTTTGCCGCTTCACTAGCGTCATCTGTTGAACGAACCTAATTATCAGTTGAATCGTTTCCTCACTATTGATAGGTCTTTATTCTTCTTTTTTTGGAAGAACCCTTCGGGAAATTTCCTTTCAAGTTCTCTTGAAGTTTACACAGAGAATTAATAACTAAAGAGCAATATTTGAACGCGGATTTCGTACACTGAACTCATCACTCGAGTTAAATAAATTTTTTTTTCCTCTTCTTTTTTGACAAGCCACTTTATTCACATCAGTTTGTATCGCTTTAAGCTGTGATAATAATAAAAAAAATTCGTCTGCCAAATTAATTGAAATGCAAACGATTTATTTTTTCTATATTTTTTTTAAAGAAAAACTTTTTCATACAATACAACTTGAGGCTGTTCTTCTCTCTCTCTCTCTTCCCCCCCCCCTTCTCAATATTCGAGTTTAAGTGAAGTTTTAGTTAAAAAATTTATTTCCTACACAATTCTGACAGGAAACTTTTAAACTAAATAATAGTCAAGATAAAGATTATAGAAGAGCGCTATTTATGAGAAAAATATATCGCTTGATTCAATGATTACATTTAATATAATAGAGTTTCTAATAATAAAAAAATAGTGTTAAGTACGATATTTCTTAGAACATAAGTTAATATATTTTATAACTTATCTAACAGATGAATCAGGGTAATAAAAAGTTATATTATAATCAGCATGCAAAGTACTTAATAATAAAAGTTTTATTTACTGAATTCAATAATTTCATTTTAAAGTGGGCTGAATATATCAGAATGACATTTACATAAAATTGTATAAATTTAAAAATTAATACAGCTTAATATTGTATAAATCTGTATAATATTTAGCAATTTTTTTACAGACTTCAAAAATATTTCCAACAGTTAAAGGCCAGTTAAAATAAATTTACAATTGAATATCGTGATATTGATGATTTTTTTCCACATAAAAAAGACAAACAATAATTTTTATTCCCACTTTTTTACAATTTTTTTATTATTAATATATTTTCCTTCTTTGTGATATTAATTTAATTTTCATGTGCATATTTTTAATTCACTTTATTCTGGTTAACAAACGTAACTTTTTTTTAGCATTTTTTAGTGTTTATTACATTTAATCTTTTATTAATTAAAGTTTTTGCTGTTAAAAAAATTGTTTTATTTTTCAATTATTAAATAAAATATGTTTTGGTCTATTAATGACAAAAATTTGACAATTGATATCTGTTAATAGATTGATATATATTAACTGCTATATATTTATACTAGTTTTAATATTCCAGCATCTATATAATTTTGATAATGACTACTTAGATAAAACCAAATAATAAAAATCTTGTATTCTAAACTGTTTGACACGAACATATTTTCGATTATTAAACTAAAAAAAATTAAACTTTTCAATTTAAGTCTAACGCAGCTTTATAGAAGAAGATTCTATTATCCAATGCTATAATCAAAGCCCATCAAAGAACTGTTTACATACTGTAAAGTAGGTGTAGAATATATTAATAATTATCATCATCTCATGAATTAGACAGCTTAATTTTAAAACTAATCAAATTAAAGCTTAGAAACAAGTTAATATAATGTGACAGACTTTTACTGTTAAATATAGAGAACAAAATACAATAAGAGAAAAATGACACGATAAATTTGTTAAGTTTCCTTTTTAACAGAAACAGCAGATGCGTTCCTTCAAGATAATTCTACTTTCGGAGACATCTGTAATTTTTTAGTCGATTCGCAAACGATCTCAATTCAATTTACAAGCTGTTCACCAAAAGAAAAAGAATACGCACACATTTCTTTCCATTTTACAATATGTTCTAACTGTTACTTTTCTTCCCGCCTTTTTAGAACGTTTGCATCTGCATCCTGACGGAGGGTGCACAGCTGAGATGGATACATCTGCAAATAAACCATCTGTTGAAAATTTCGTTTTGGAACAGTTGATCAATACCATCGAATAAAAAAAAGCGCATATGTGTATAAAGTGCTATTGAGTGGGTGCTTTAAATTCAACAATGTGTGTTTTTAACTCGGCTTCCGCGTCGTGTGTAAGTACGTTACCAGAAGTTAACCTATTCCTTTATTCTTATTTTTTTATTTCGTTTCCCCTCAATAATATTGGCAAAACTACAGGGCTTGCAGTATCGTTATATTGAGAAAAACAGTATCTTCATAATTAACAATACAGTATGTCGATAATTAGGAAATAAGTAATTGCCCGTTACTTTAAATACCTTAAAAACTTTACACGTATAGAAATATATAAATAAAACTCAATAAATTTGATAACACTTGGCAAAGTGTAAACTTTTAAGTTAAACACTTCTCATTTTGAATTAGATACAAATTATTTAACACTTCCGCTTTATTTGCATCTGAGTTGATGGGGAAAATCTGGCACTCTCTTAGTGGAAAGATACTACGAATGCGAATATTTTGTTGCACAATTTATATAAAAACGAACTATCTTTGAAAATACTTTGTTTCTCCTGCGATAGTGATAAATAAAAGCTACCGTTGCTGTGGTTTTTATTATTTCCAAGATCGAAGATATCTCATTTTGTACAGAAAAATATCTTTTGTCTCATATTGAAAAATGTCCATTTCATATTTGAAAATATCCATCTTATAATAGAAAATATCTACTTGGAGTAAAAATTAATTAGAGTGACTTTTTTTTCCTCCTTAATGTGTGTAACTAATATATTTTATGGGTGGATATTTCGTTCTGAAAATTCTTGAAAAGAAAAATCTGATAATTGAAATTTGAATACAATTGTTAATAAATAAAAGATGACGGGGGTCAACCAGTCGGGATAACTGATTGTTACTTGAAACCCTTAGTTTATAGTGATATGGCATTATGTAATCGAGATATGTGGTTGGTAATAAGACAGGAACCTTAATGTGGCTGTAATTGGTACCAAAAATACCAGATATATGCACTCATTGGTACCAAAAATAATGAAGTTAGTTTTTTTTAATTTTTATTCTAACTTTTTTTATTCGGTTTATGTAGGGTTTGGTTGCAAAACTTTCCTCCTTTTTCAGTGTATGTTGTGAGTTTTAGAAGTGATTTTTATCATAATGTTCCATTTTTAACATGCCCGACGAGAATCAAAGCTAAAACTGGCGTCAAAGATTAATTACTTCACAACAAAAGATAATTTAAAAAAATTATCGAATATAACTACGAAGTTTTGGTGTAAAACAAAACATTAAAGCTCCTTACATAAAGTTTCCTTTGATTCAAAAGAAAACTTTCTAAATTAAATCAACGCTGTGTGTTTACTTTCTATTGAAATATCCACTTTGAATAAATGAAACGCAGACGGAAACCATTAACTATAATAAATGTTTGGAAAAAAAAGAATATGATAACAATGAATCAATAGCGAAACGGACAGAAAAAAAACAGTTGTCGAGTGTAATAATGTAATGTTCCGGTGCATGATTCGAATATTGTTATTTTTAATACAAGGGAGTGTTATACGTCCTTTTAATTACAATGTCAACAGAGCGTTCCGAAACGACCTACACACATAAAGAAACCGACAAGGTCACTAGCCGAGATACGTGGAACAGCTGATTCTACGGCGCTGCATTGTTTGTATCAACGTGCTGCCATCTCTTGGCAAACAAACACAAAATTAAACTTTTCATGCAATATTATTCTTCGCGTAAATTGTGAAGAGGTAATTTTAATGGCAACAAACCATATTGATTTTAGTTCTGTAAACATTACACAACAGTTAATTTAAATATTTATATTGATTTATGACAAAATATAATGTAATAAATTCCTTGACAGCACGAACATTATTACTTATTTTAAAAATATGTTCTATAAATTTGTTTTTAAAT